TATTTGTAACTGTGATTTATAGCTATTCTGTGATTCTATGATTTTATTCTCTGCTTCCTCTTTTGCATATTACAAGTTGACCTTTCCACCTGGAAGGAATCAGGTCTGTGAAATAATAAAAGCTGATGTAAGAGATTCTGTCTTAACAGTTCTTCAAGACTGTTTTTTTGTAATGGAAACCAAAGTCCACTCTTGCTCTTCACTGAGAAGAGCAATGATGGTAAGTGAAAACTCAGATGAAGATCCGAACTTCACAGTTTGGAATGCCATGCCACTCTTTTTCTAGGCAAGTTTGAATCCATTTATGTAACTTACCTTCTCCATCTGATATTCAGTGTTACTTCTTGCTCCCAGGTAAACCATGGCCAGGGATGCAATTATGCTCAGGGGGCAGTAGAAGATGTTGTCGTTGGCATGGTAGACTTTAAGCTCTTTGAATACATCAAAAGCAAATTCTGCATTTGCTGCACTGATGGAGCCCATTGTTAAATGTAATGCTGTCTAAAAAAACAGAAATGTGATTGTCTAGTGGTCATATGTAGCACTTGCTTTAAAAAGGACTGTCAATAGCCCAGAAACTGCTAGGTTTTTACAGTTTTTGTGGTGCTGAACCAATGAATGGTATGAAGCTTACAAATTCTGCGATCATTAGAAATATTGTAACTCCTGACCCATTTATCTCTGAATGCATGTTTATTTTCCTTCAGCAAGATACTACCTCATCATAAAGATAGTATCTTGTACTTGACTTAGGAAATAGATAGTCTCATCCCTGCTTCAATATGATAAATATGAATGGATGAATGTCCCTATGGCCATCCAGAGGACTCTGAATGATGTTTGAGATCTTTAAATCAAAGGTAGTCGACTCTTACTTCTCACTGTTGCTTAGTACAATCAGCCAGAAATTTGGACGTTGCTTGTCTGTAGTTTACAGGAATAACAGGAATAAGTTTCTCTGTAAATCCAGTCAGTTGCTTAGATGCTGAACTACAAATTTAATAAGGGGGGTCCTTTCCTGTAGTCCCATTGTGGATATTTAATCTCTGCTGATGCTTTTTTGTTGAGAAAAAGCATAAGCATATACAACATAAATACATGTTTTGGCAATACAGCTTGAAAGAGCACAGAGCTGCATTTGTTCAGTCAGGTGAAGGTCCTGTACATGCAAAGGAATGTGACATGCTAAGGATATTCATTGAAACCTGCAGTGATTCTCTCTTTCAAATACGATAAAGTTGCATACTGTTTTTATATCTCTAAAACAGTTAAAGTTGGAGGAATAGCAGCATATACCTGCAGTTTGTAGCAGATGTGTTTGATCTATACGACCTGAGAAGCAACCTGAGAAACAACCAGGTGCTAGTGACTGTGGAACCACAGAATTTGGGAATCATCATACCATGCCTCACCTGTGTTATCCAGAGAATGAGACTGAGAAAGGAAAAATGCTTTTATTACCAAATTAATTATTAAAATTGAAAGATAACAGTTTTAATGTGACACCAGATTTTCAACTACAAAGTATTTCTACTCAAAGCTATGATGTACAAGGACTTGTATTTTGCACACCAGAAGTATTTGACAAACAGTATAAGATATATTGATAAGGCAAGGTAAAATTATTGTATATGCTGTCTTTTTACATATCTGTCGTATACTTACCTTAAAGTTCTTAAATATAATATCACCTTTTTCCCATATTAAAGAATACAAATTAGAAATTATATTTCACTTGGAGAAATACTTACCCACAAACTTCAAAGAAGCACGTAAAAATCCAACTTGTCAGCTGAACCTAAACAGATTCTTTGAGCTCTTAGTGATATATATTGTACCATTTGAGACACTCCCACTCTTAGCCTTGAAGGAGTCATCTTTTGAGTTACTACCTTTCGTCAGGATCTTTTGATTCATTGCAATTTGAAGCACTAGGTAGACCAATGTTAGACTTGTCCTTTATCTACAGCAGGTTAACCTTTATTTATTGAAGTAGACCCAATTAAAACTATTACTTATATAAGCTTTTGTTGTAACTTATAAGTCTGTACAAAAGCAACTGGAATTCAGATCTTCAACTGTCTCATGCAGTTCTTTTGAATTTACACATTACTGTGATCGTGCCATATCAGGTATCCAGAGTCAGATGAGAAACAAACAAAACTGAGGATAAACAGTGTTACAAGTATATCCAGCAAACCATAGTACATTTTCAATACACCTATCTGCAACATCAGATCAGGTGAATCTGATAGTCAAGTGAAGCTGAAGATCCCAAAATACTACATGAAAATGAGACCTAGTCACAGTGCCATAAGCTGGGAGCAAGGAAACAGTTCCCACTGCAGTCCACCATTAGTGACCATCCATGGATACAGCTCAGGAAAGATACTTGCATTACCAGGGAGTGCAAAACACTGCCGAAGCTCTGTATATATGCAACTACTCATCACAGATTCTATGCAGTGGAACAGAGAGAAATTCCTCATGGACAGTGACCATCTGATGTCTCAAAAATAATGCAATTCAAAGGAGAGCCAGCTGTGGGATGGTCCTTCTATTCAGAGGGTTTTGAAGTGGACTTTTTCCATGTTAGAACAAACCCAAAACTTTCTATTTCATTTCCAGACCAAAACAACCCTGAAAGGTGCTCTGGTCTGCCAAAATGCAGAAGTACATACCTGGAGACAAAGGACTGGTGTGCTTTATAGCTTGTACTTGCTGAAAGCACAGCCACAGCTTCCTTTATAATTAGGTGAGGCCAAAGTTTCTTACCTGAAGTCAAACTATACTGTCGATGGCATACATGTCGAGGAGGGCAGAAGGGCTCTGAGGAGAAAGCATGTCTTGCTACAAATTCATTTTGAAGAAAATATTCAGAACAGCAGTACTGAGATGAGTTAGAGGTCTGAGGGAGGGCATGGCAGAAGAAGAGATATGAGAAACTAATGAATTACGTATTTTATGGACTTTAAGTTGGACCCCAGAGTATTCAAATATTCAGAAACGATTTTAACAAGCCAGTAGGATTTAAAGACTGATTGAGGGTCAGCTTTTAATTTTTCATTCTTAGCAGGTCATGGCAACAAGGCCATAGTACCTGCACAGGCCATTCTCATAGATCATCCATACCTACTTTTTACTATGGCAGGTGAATAACCTGCAGAATCTATCTGCCAGGATATTCATGGTCTGTTAGACAATCATAATGTACAAAAGCAAATATAATTCAATTGAAAAAAAACTATTAATCTTTATTAAATAATAGAATAAATGAGCAGTAAAGAAACAAATCTCGCATATGTAAATGCCATATGAGTGGACAAAAGAATCCCACATTTGTAAATATTTCACCACTGCGATCACCACACTCAAATAACTCAGCATGGTATAAAGGACTTTACTGATGCAGTCTGACCATGGGGATTAATTTCCAGGGCCACCCAGCAGCAGTGCCAACTGTGTGGCCACTATGGGGAGGGACATCCCCCTGGGCGTCCTGGGCACAGTCACTTCCTCAAGGCCAGACCCCAAAGATGTTTCTCCAAGGCACGCTGGGCAAAGGGCAGCAGCAGCAGCAGCAGCAGGGGGCCCCATCACCCGTGTGTCATAGTGCCAGCACGCGCGAACACAGCATCACAATGCCCTGGGCAGTATAAGGCCAGAGCCCCCCGGCAGTGCTTTGGAGCTGCGGTGCCAGGCACTGCAAGGGTTCTTGCTCCCAGGGTAGATGAGGCCAGCAGCATTTTGCTGTTGTGGGAAGCCCCTGAGATGGCTCTGGGCAGAGGCAGAAAAGGCAGGTGCAGTGTCCCCTTGGAGGCATAACCAGCCCGTGGACCAGGAGCAGGTCTTGCTGCCGTGCTCAGGGAGTAGCCGACCGCCAGCGCTGGGGTCAGGAAGGAATTTTCCCCCAGGGCAGATTGGCACTGGCCCCGGGGGTTTTTTGCCTTCCTCTGAGCACTGAGCATGACCACTTGCCAGGGCTCCTGTGCTCCTGGTGCTCTGGGTTATCGCCTGGTGCTCATGCACCACGAAGGTGGCCCCTCGTGTCCTGCAGCTGGGGGGGGTGGGAAGGCTTTTTTGCCCCCAGGCTAGACTAGCAAGTGTCCCAGGGGTTTTTTGCTTCCTCCGCAGCCAAGCACAGTCCCTTCATGGGGCTCCTTTGGGTCATTGCAGCCCAAAGGCAGCGGCTCGCGCTCCACGCAGCTGGCCCTCGTGCCCCGCATCCGGAGGGAGGCAGCCTTCAGCACTCCCAGGGTGGCCCCTGCATGGGCCCGGGACTCCCAGGCTGGCCCCTGCGTGGGCCCGGGACTTTCTGCTGTCCTCTGTAGCATTGAGCACCATCCCGAGTCAGGTCTTCCCTGGCCCTTTCTGGCTGGGTTCTTCCACTGTTCTCGCTCCAATACGGCACCGCTCCTGCCCCGGCTTTCCTCTCTCAGCCTGCAAGGGAGGCCTTTTTCCAGAGAAACTGTGGTTTGCCCTCTTGGCTGCCAGGGCACATTGCTGGCTCACACTGAGCCCACTGCCAAGCAGCACGTCCAGATCCCTTTCTGAAGGGCTGCTCTCCAGCCGTGTCTCTCCCAGTTTGCACTTTTGGGGCTGGCATTCCTCCATCCCATGTGCACAATTCAGCATCTGCTCTTGTTCACTTTCATATCATTGATGATTGCTCAACACTCCAGCCTGTCTAGATCCTTCTGCAAGATCGCTGGTCCGTCTGAAAATGTTTGTCTGATTATGTAAGCTAATACATTCTAACAGTGTCCAAGACCAGGTTGGGCAGAGTCTTGGGTGACATGGTCTAGTGCGAGGTGTCCCTGCCCATGACAGAGGGGGTGTAACTAGATAATCTTAAGCTCCTTTCTAACCCAAACCAGTCTGTGATTCTATGATTTCAGTCTTTTTTCTTTTTTTTTTTTTGGATTTTTTTTTTATTGTAAGTAATTTATATTTGAAACAAACCAGATGTACGCAAAATACCAATGGTGGTCTTTGAAAAACAGGTGTGGTTATTTTTTGCATACCCTATTAATCAGAAAAGCCCGCAGCCTGTGTTTGGTGTTCTTGTCTTTTAGCGTCTAATTGATGTGAGAACTGTACCTCTACTGGTAATTTTACTATTTCAGCTTGTATTTCATGCTGAAATTGCAGCAATCTGAAACAGCTCCACAGACTATCATGAGTCTGCTTTACTTAACAACTGAATTTGTATTGAATACTCTAATTTACTATCATTTTTCCTGCAGACCTCAGCATTTAAAAGAGCCTTTTGAATCTGCAGTTCTGAAATAGCACTAGTATGCTCACAGTGCTTACTTTCTTCCCATCAGCAAACAACAGGAAAAAGAGAGCGTGTCATCAGAGGTGGAATATGTTTTCCTTTAAAAGCAAGTATTTTTCATGTATCTGTGGTTTTGGACACTGCCTACTGCCAAACTGGGCAGGCTGCTCTCTTCTCTGTAACCCCTTGCTATGCCTTCCCACCACCCACTCCACAACATCCAGGAGGTGGTTTAGGGAACTAGGTCATCAGCAAGGAAATCCACTTTACCAAAAATGTTCCTCTTGGTTCATGTCCCAGAGAACTGTTCATCAGCCAGTAAGGCAAGCAATAGTGGTGGCACAGGGGAGGGAACAGAACCACATGAAAGGAAGAAGCCAAGGGGAGCAGCATCCTCTTCCTCAGTGGCATTAGGCTGGCTCAGCCATGTCCTAAAACTGGACTCTTAATTCCCTGGTAAAATCAAATGCAAGATAGAAGCAGTAAGCAAGGTTTAGGATTTACCTATCCTAATGTCAAGTTGTCCAGTGCCTAAACTTAGCATAATAGGTATTTTAAAATAGGAGTTCAACTTCAGTGTCACATTTATTAAAGTATTACCCTTATTTTTACTTGCTATATTAGACTATTCCTCCACCTACTTAATACTGCACACTACTACATTTACTATTTAATTTGCAGTGGTCTTAGTGTGGTAAATGGAACAAATACAGGCTGCCATCTAAATACCACTGCTATAGATTATTTTACTATTTTTGATGAAAACTAGATGGAACAAGAGTCTCGTGGTACCTGAGGCACAAAGAGAGATGGTTCTTACCAGTGAGAATGGCTGTTCACTGCTTAAAGTTTTATGCAAGCAAGTGTCTAGTTCCCAGCCATTGCAGAGTAGGCCTTGTCACAAAAGGTCTTCCATTGTTCTGAAACCCTGTTTTTGTTCTGTGGAAGTTTATGAAGAAGTTGGTAGATTTCCTAGCACATACAGGGCTTCCAGCAGGAAAAAAAATAGCAATGGGTCTGCCCTTCTTGAGAACGAGCAAAATTACACCAGAAAAATCTTTCTCTGCTTTCTGAGTACAAATACTGAGAGTTCCAGCTTGAACCATTACCCCAATCAATATTTAAAGGAGGTGTCCCACAGGGATACTTTATTACTCTGATACAATATGGCATTTCCCTTGGGACCTATACCAAGAATGGGTGGGTAAATCTAAAAGAGACCGAGGACCCAAGTTTAGCATTTTAATGCAGATCCTTACCCTCCTGTCTGCTTCGTGTGGGAGAATCTTTAGGGCACTAAAATCATGGGTTTGTTGGAGACATACTGCAGTAAGAAAGACTCAAAACAAGATTTTATATGCAGATGTCTTCAGAGGCCTACAGCTTTTTGGCAAGTATCACGTAGTGTATTTTAGGGTAGATGTCATTTTAATGAGGTCTCCTAAAAGTAAACACACCTGAAGATAACACTTCAGGATAAAGCCTAGTGAAAATGTGTTCATCTTGCCAATGGGGATCTTAGTGGAGAGAAAGATCTAATTTTCAAAATAAACTCCACTTAAGGAGAGGAATACCTTCCAAAGAAGAGAATGGTATTGGTTGGATTGTGTCTGATGAAGAAGAGGAATGGATGGTCAGCTTTGAACTCATAAGAAACTGGGAGACACAGAGGCACTGCAACAAGCCCCATAGCACTAGCTGCTTCAGTGCCCTCTTCGTTGACTTCCACAAATGACTTCTGGATGACCTTGGACACAACCAAACCATCTTTCCTAGAGATTCCTGACAAATCAGCTTTTCCCCAGTCAAAAACATTAATCGCTCCCATCTCCTGGAGAATTTTGTTGAGAACATAACTTTCCTCCATCTTGAACTGAGGCAGGTACACTTTCACTTTCAGTTGCTGCATCCTATCCGGGCTGGTCCATTCTGATAGTTTTTCATATGTCAGGGTGCGTTCAAGCTGTAAGGTGGTATTGACCATAATGAACAGAAAGAAAAGATAATAAGGTTCAGTTTTTCATTCTTATCTTCTGACCACACCGGAACAATGTTAAAGTATTGCTCTGTTTGCAGTCCATTATGTATGCTACTAAAGAGAAAAGGAAGTATTACCTGTTCCAGACCAGTAAAATCCTCACAGACAACTTCAGGAAGAAGAATGAACATGCTCATTTCACTATCAAAATATAGGAGCTCTATGACTTTTGTTTTGAGTTCCTCTATGATGGCCATGTTAAAATAACCTTCTTGAAACATCATCTTCACTGTCCTCCTCTCATTCTGGAACATATGAAACATACTAAGAGAAAATACAGAAATTATCACCCTGGGTTTAATTGGTTTCAGTATTAAGATAAGAGTTTAGTACAGAAAAATTATTTGTACTGGTCATGGGCTTCATGTACTTGTAGCATTGGCAAGTTCCTCACTCTTAACTGTAGCTCCAATGAAGTTAGCCATTTTAGGAGCATAAAATCTACTTTTCCATTTCTACTGGTGTCAGATTACTTAATCACAACTCCCTTCTTACATCCTTCTTTATTCTGGCATGTCAGATGAGGAAGCTGATGCACCTGATGCAATTATTAATTTGAATTCTTCATGAGTAATATATATGTATACATATGTATACGTATCATAGAATCATAGAAAAGTCAGAGTTGGAAAGGAGTGCCATGGACAGGGACACCTCCCACTAGACCAGGTCACATTATCCTGAGATAATTTGTCTTTAGCTCATTTTTCTTGAAAACAAACACTATTCTATTAGTAAATAGTAGCAGAGGAACGGAATCCTCAAACTCAGTCACAAAAGCAGACTATTTTCAGAACACCATCCTTAGTTGCAAAATCCCCAAGCTACTGCGTGTGCTCGGTGCACTTTCACTAGGTTCTCAGCTGCATGAGACCCACTTCTGATGTGAATTGATAGAAAGTTACGTATCTGGTTATAAAACTGGAGAGAAGATGTAGCTTTCTATTGTTCTATCTGAAGACCAGGTTTTTGTCCTGGGATAACAGAGATCAGGATAGCTCCCCTTTGTTGTTGCAGGAGACAGACATCTGATTTCCATTCCCCAGCTGTCTCAGTTCCTGCATATACTGTACCTTGTTCAGATGGAAATATGTTTCCTTAGTGTCTTCTTTCTTAAATTCTACTGCCCACTTTCCTTTAAAATATATAGCACTGACCAGGACAAGTACAGTAGAGGGATCGATAAACCCAGCAGAAAATAGGTCTTTGATTTTACCTTTAAAAACAATGAATTAAGAAGAATTATTGCTTTGTTCAGGCAATCAGATGCACTAGACTGTTAATAATTGTTTCTATAAATCTGGAAAGTAGTATAATGCTGTCAGACAAATAAGAAAACATTTATGTATAGCTTTTGAAGCCAGGAACTCAGGGCATTTTTGTGCTTCTTCCTACTTTCATTTCATATATTTGCATATTTCATAAGCAAAAATCTGCAATAAGTGTTTAATATATAACAATCTTGCTACTGCTGGAAAAATAGGTGGAAACTGAAATTTAGTCATAATATTGCTGCCGGTTTGATTGTAAGCCAAACAACCCGCACATATTCTTCACCTTTTGTCTCATTTTCCACCCAAAAGTTAATTTTATCCGTGGCTTCTTCTTCAGTGTATTTAAAATTGACTGGTTCCAGTTCTGATCGGTAGAATTTCTTTGTGGAATCCAAGTATTGCTGGAAAGTACAAATGACAGAAGTTTATCACAACATGATGACTTTTATAAGATAGATCATTTCATGGCTGCAGGACAATTCCATGTAGTAGATCAGCAAGAAAGGAATGAGTAAAACAGGCATATATAACGAATTCATTGAAATAACTCAAGCATTCAGTATATATAGAGATGTTATTTATTAAAAAAAATTCTTGCAGACCCATTTTTCTGTTTTTTCAAGCTGTCCTGAGCAGCAGAAATGCCTCAACACAGAAAAAAAAAAAGTTATCTATCAAAACCTGGTACCTTTCTTTAAGCTTACATATCATTTTTATACTGCCTGTATTCCCCCAACTACCAAATGAAGAAGGTTACCTTATTTTGAACAAATAACGGGTATTGATAATAACACAATGAGATATATGTGTGTTTGTATATATATATCATTCTGTGTAGATATATGCATAGTAAAAAATACCACTTCTATTAAATACAAAACTTTTTCAAACTGCTGGTCACCTTTTTCTGTCTCTGAAAATTTCTCTTTACCCAGAGTGTAAAGTTTTGGATGCAAGATGAAATCTGGACTTGCAAAGAGAAAGGTGGTTACACGGATAAAACAGCACTGTTTCTAGCAATACTCTTATAAATACCTTAAGCCTGTTTTCTTCAGAAAATTATCTGTATGCACTTGCACTGCCTGGGTTGTCAGGAATGTTCTCAAATGGTGTTGAGACTACTTGACAAATCTCTCAAAGGCTTTCTTCTAAGCCTTGTTTGAAAAAGCAACAGGAATCAGAGTCCCATTATTCACACAGACTCTGAAGGGAAGGTGGAATAGTGAATAAAATCATCTTATTAGAAACAGATAAGTCACTGGGGAAAAAAAAGATCTGCTTTTGGTCACAGACCTTTGTTCCTTGGATAAAAATGACACAGCAAGTATCAGCTCTATTAGACACCAGCTGTGCATGTCAAGGATACCTTGTGTTTCATTTCCCTTTGTACTTTATGATGGAAGAAATCCTGCAGAGCTTGTAACTCCAGGAGCTGTCCAAATGGACACCATGTCCACTTACCTGGAAGAACGGGTAAGTAATTTCTCCAAAGAGCCTGTTGGCAATGGTGAGAGAGCAGCCTGGTCTGGGTTCACTCACTGCAGCCAACAGAGCCTGGAACTGGGAATGGACTCCTCCATCTTCTTCACTCTTCAAACATGAAGACAGAAGTTTCATGGTAGGCTTGAGCCTTTACCATGAAAAACTGGACCTGAGGGTGAATTGCAGCTCTCCCTGTATGAGAAGCCTGACTCCACCCAGATGATACAGGCATTGGATTAAATGCATCAGGACACAACGTCCAGGTACCCCTGCACCAGATGTACAGAATGACAAAACAATTCCCCTTCAGGCCCACACTAGTCCAGAAGTCTACTGGATTAGAGCCTTGGAGGAGAAAGTTCCTAGGTGCCTTTGGCATGCCCTGTAGGCAAACCTTTGCAGCTATCAAAACTTACCATGTTTTAGATTGGTACTGCTGGTTTGGTTAGAAACCTGTAATGAGAAGGCTTAGCTGTTGGAATGTGTGATCTCACCAGGCCCGTAAAGAGGTAATACGCAGGTCTGCAGTCCTAGACAGAGAGTGTGCTCAGCCTTGCTGTGCTTTCTGATTAAGTGATTGTTTGCAAGGAAAAGGGCTGACAAACCTGCACCTATGGCTTCATCTCAGAGCTGCAACTGTGTCTCACCTTCTCAGAAGAGTATGTGTTTCCTCGGCTTGTACTGCTCAAAACTTCACTGAAATGAAATACCTGCAATGTAAATACTGGGTGAACACAACTGAGTGACAGTACCTCAAAGCTTAACCAGTCTTGCAAGTCTACCCCAAAACACAGCCAGGCATAGTCCCATTTGTCCTTGTGAGTAAACACGAAGGTTTGTAGAAGGTGAGTTCATGAAATCTTTGAAATCATTCTTCTTAAGAAACAAGACTTTGGGTATCCAGAGAAGACAGAAGACTCTGTGAAATGGAACCACCACTTTTGAGCTCTGGAGAGTGGAGAGATACTTCCAAAACACTTTCTTTAGCACTGATATATTCATTGCATGCTCAATTACTGTAATAGCATTTAGTCTGAAGAAGTTTGGTGTTAGAAATAGCATAAGAAGGGGTATTTTTAGAGGGCTCACTGCTTGCATCACTCCTTTGGATGCTTAGGAACTGTATCAGATGGTACCATTGGCCTCTTGGCTGGTATCTTGCCAGCATCCCCTTTTCAGAGCAAAGGAAACCCACCTTCTCAATCTGTTCGAGTGTATTGCCCCTGGCTCCAAGGACAACCATCCCAAAGGCAGCTGAGAGACTTAGTGGGGAGAAGAAGATGTTTTTGTTTCTTTTTCCTTTGCTCAGCTCTCTGAAAAAGTACAGACAGAACTTGGCATTGGCTGCGCTGAGAGAGCACATGGTGGCACTGTGCTTGCCTGCAACAAGGGAAACAAAGACTTAGGCTCCTTGTCCTTACACCTGTTAAGCTTAGATGCCTTGGTAGAGCACAGAAAAGTTTTCTGCAGTAAATTGTTCAGCACTTTCTGGAATATTCCTGATTCACCATGTCTGGGATTTCACAGCGAGTCTGAAAACCAGCACCCTGAATGGCAGGAGAAACAGATTTTCAGAAACTGTTCTGAGCTCAGCTGTTCCTCCAGATCAAGCAATAGCTATGACTTTGCCACTTAGCCCTGACTTTGTTCTAACCACAGTTCTGGCTTACTTTATCTTTCTTACCTCGAGCCCTTAATAAGGCACAGTGCTTGTTAATTACAACCCTTGATCATACCTCACTCTCTGTCTCTCTCTCTAAAACCTTTGTGTGTATTAATCAGCTCAGTGTGTATTAATATGTCTCACATATTGTGACCTTCTAAGGCTGGCTCCTTAACAAGTGTTTGACAGAAAATTGATCTGCAGATAGGTTCACTTAGTAAGATTTTCAGCAAAGGCACATTGTGTATTAGCGGAAAGCTACAGTTGTATTTTTCATTTTATCTGAGGCTTTAATGCTTTTCCCAGATATACTTCAGTTACAATAAAAAGTATTACCAGCAGATGATCTTGAGTGTTCTGCAAAACTCCTCACATCTTGCACCTAGGATAGAGTTCCTTTCTTATCAAAGCCTTTTCCCAGTCTCTTCATCCAGTAATGATGTAGAATTGATTCATTAGAAAGTCAATTTGGTGTTTTAGAGTTTCCGCTATTCTAAGTCACTCTTGGTTTGATACTTACTATGCCCTTCTGCATAGGTAGGGAAGATACCTTTCTCGAATTACACAAAAAAAAAAATTAAATTATCTGCACAAATATTAAAGAGAAGAAATGGTGTAGAAAGACTATGCTCTCACAAATTACCACTCTGGGTCATGCAGAGGAAGTGGGAAAAGGTTTGGGTTTAATCTTTAGAAAGACACCTGGTAAAGCCATTGTACAAATTAAGCTCAGTTCATTCACACAGCCCATACATTTCAGTGTAATCCAAAACATTGCACATTATCTTGACAACGTTCTCATATCATAGAATCATAGAATGGTTAGGGTTGGAAAGGACCTTAAGATCATCAAGTTCCAACCCCCTGCCATGGGCAGGGACACCTCACTCTAAACCATATCACCCAAGGCCTCGTCCAACCTGGCCTTGAACACTGCCAGGGATGGAGCATTCACAACCTCCCTGGGCAACCCATTCCAGTGCCTCACCACCCTAACAGGAAAGAATTTTCTCCTTATATCCAATCTAAGCTTCCCTCGTTTAAGTTTTAACCCATTACCCCTTGTCCTATCACTACAGTCCCTAATGAAGAGTCCATCCCCAGCATCCCTATATGCCCCCTTCAGATACTGGAAGGCTGCTATGAGGTCTCCACGCAGCCTTCTCTTCTCCAGGCTGAACAGTCCCAACTTTCTCAGAAACTTATGCACCGTGTATATGTGCTAAGCAGATGTGTACATCACTAATGCACATATAAATCTTTAGACATTTCATACTTATGCCATTTGTAATGTAAAGGTTAGAATTAAAGGTCAGGGAGATATTTACCTTCTCCTCAGGACTGACGGTGTCAACTTGACTGTTGAGATTGATGACAGGGCTTCTGGAGCAATGAGATATAAAGCCATTGCCACTCCCAGTGGCAGCATAATTTTTGCTTATGATGAATCGCATTCTTGTCTGTTGCAACCAGTTATTATTATTATGGGACCTTTTGTGGAATATTGAATTTTTCCTTGTCCCTAGGAGATCAGGAAGAAGACACAATTTTAAATGCATACCAAGAGGAAAAAAAATTAAATCTACCTAATCATAAGAAAGAATGCAAACTACTAGAAATAAAGGAGATTTCAGAGGGGTTACCTGTACAAAAATGAAGTCTACAAAATTAGATGTGCATTGCTGTCTGAAGTGTCACTGTTGAATGCAAACATGTTTTTGCAATAGAAATTAATTATTAACACCTCTGCAGATGGCACAGTAACAAGGGAAAGAAAAATATAGAAGTATCTCTTTGGCCAATTGTGACATAAGGCAGTGGTCCCAGAACTGAAGGTAGGGCAATTTCTTCTGCCTACTCCAGTTCTGTGCTTCTGAAGACTTCTCTCTTAAAGATCCCTTTTGGAGAGCTTTCCCTACCTGTTTTCTTCCCAGCTGAAAATGTTGTCCTTAATGGAGAAGAGAAATTCAGCCATTTGTTGCAGTTTGTTGTATATCCAACAGCTTGCACAAATAGCAGCTTACTTTCATTTGTGTGACATCCACTCTTCTAGTGGGCACGTTGCACACAGCGCACATCTGTGCCAAGTGTGTACGTGCAGTATGCTGAAGCTGAGAACTCTGCAGCTGTTGCAGCGATGTGGCACAGATTGTGTGCATTTGTCTCAACCACACTTCATGGGTGGACTAACTCTGGTAGGCCTGGGATGCTATGCTTCCTGCAGAGACACTGCAGTTCAGGGCTCCCCATACATCATCTGCATTTCCTTACATTTTCCTGATGGAAATATGAGGGTCTTGGTCCTCTCCTGGGGATTCCTGATATTTCTACTGTAAGTAGGAAGAGACATGTGGCACAAGGGGCGAAACATAAAGAAATTATCCCAGTCTGCATAGCCTTCTTTCAAAACCAAAATCTATTCCCACTAACATCTCTTAATAACTTTGAATAGATACACTGAACAAATATTTGTTCTTTTGCAATTCCATGTAGCCATTAATTAGTTCTGTTTGGAAACAAAAGAAACGTGTGGCTGGAAGGAGCCTTGAGACTATCTATTGCACCTGCTGCCCTAAGGCAGGATCAAAGTTGTCTCCATTACAGCTGATAGGTGTTTGTTGAGCCTGATTTTAGAAGCTTCTAGACAAGGAGTTTCCAAATCTCTGTTAAGCGTGGTTGCTTCCTTATCCCTGGAGTTTTAACTCATCTCTGTCCTAAATATTTCTACTGTAAGTGGGAAGACATATGTGGCACAAGGGGAAAAACGTAGAGAAATTATCTCTGCCCACACAGCCTTCTTTCAAAACCTTGCACTCTGCAGGTGTGTTTACAGGAAAGCCAGACAAGTTTTGTGCACACAGGCTTTCCACAAGACACTGATGTGTCAGCTAAGTTTAGCCCAAAACTTCTCATTACTTTTTACTTTTATCAGTGACCCTGAGGAAACCTGGTCCTTGCCTTATATTGCTTCAGCAAAGCAGGGGCAGCAAAGACAGAGAAACCTAGTTACAAGAGGTACAATGTTTCTTGGGTTATTTTTCTAAAAAAGAAAATCTTCCTTCACATTTAGGTTGATATGGTGTGTGGGTGGGCAAGTATTTGCAAGAGTGCATGCAAGCACAAACACTTAGAACACTGTTTTGTAAGTACTCTAGTTATTACGAATAACATATACTTAGATATCAGCCCCACCAGATACAAGGCTTCTAGGTCATTTAGGAAGCTCTGAAGGCAATTTCGTATCAGTCATAAGATATTCATGAGTTTATTTTTTTTCCAATTTGAATTTTCTCCTATCTTTTTTCTTTGAGCTCTTCTTCTTGTGCTTGGAATAATACAAAGGCTCATTGCTGGCCAGAGGAAAATGAAAAGGATTGAAGATGGTCACAGTAGTCTTAGAATCAGGAGAATTTCTTTATTCTTTTCCAAAAATAAGACTCCTACCAGGAAAAGATCAATAACAGGAGGAATTTTTTTAATTTTTTTTTTTAAAGCTTACAGAGAATTTGTTGCTGAGATGCGTTGCATGGAAAGGAAAATGAAGATGTAAAAGCATTGCAAGCACATAAGTGACAGATTTTGTTTTACAGAGATAGGCTGCTCTGGAGAGAATGCACATTTCAAAGACAGACGTTTTGGGTGATGGCCTGGTGCTTGTCATGGTAAAGTTATTTTCAGGCACAGAAGAGTGGATCCAGACTGAACTGTCTCCTACCCCTAAAATTCCACACAGTCAGCTAGGACTGTAAATAGTGTCACGTCCTTAAGGACAAGTTTCATGCAGCACTGTTTACTTGCACTGTTCACTTGTTTGCAGTCATAGCAAAACACAGTTTTACAGCAAAAAGCAATGACTTACTCTGTACAGAACAGACCATCAGCACATCCTTTGTAATTACTCTCTGCTGCAAGTGGAATAACCTGCAGTAAGCGTGAATGGCTATAGATCTCCCTTGGCTTTGGTTTCACTATTTGCAGTCCTATGCTTCCCTTGCTGTCAGTGTCTTCAGGACACAGCCAGGGAATCAGGTTCTTGTTGAGGAACCAGAGGCTGATTTCAAGCTTGACACCAAAGGCTCTTCCTAGCCCTTTCATCTGACAAAATGCATATTCTGCTACCACTCTGAAGCTGCTCAGGTGGTAATTACAGAGTACCTGATGTGTCTGAGGTTGCCTGTGAGTAAAGGTATGATTGCGTAAGTACGGTTATTGAATAGCAAGAACAAAACAAGAATTCCTGTGATATTCACTGGGCCAAGGACCACAAGGCCCACCCTGTTTGCCTATTTACATCTGCTGTGTAAGCACCACAAAAAACAGCAAGCCTTACATATCATATCAGCAATTAGAGTGATAAAGCATCTGTGGTGATCCATAGCAACTTTAGCATGACTGAAAGATATGTCTTGAAGTTGATGAAGATGTGGGAGAGACTTCAGATGTTCCTGGTGGTCTCAGCTCATTTGAGAAGCCTCACATGAGCAAAGTCTGGCTTTACTTCCAGGGATTTTCAGGTTGTATGAGTGTAAAACCTAGTGAAAAACACGTACCACCTTCTAAATTTCACTGCTGACACTCCAGTACTGAAGTGACTGTCAAGAGAGTGCAGGAATTGGTGAGTGTCAATTTTGCAGAGACTTGGGCCACCTCATTCTGGTCATTCATCTTGCCGGGGAAACAGTGAGCAACTGTTTTCTTCTACCTGAACTTCTTTCTACACCATAACTCTTTCCATGATTGCAATGGACCACTTTACTCTCCAGAGACAGTTAGACATGACACAAAACAGCATCCCAAAATTCTTCACTTTTGATTCACTTACCTTATTGGCACCCAAAAAAATGTTCTAGCAATGCAATCAGTTCTCCCTGCTGTACCTTCTCTGCTCACACACTTTCTCACCTGCTCACACACTTCCTCACCTGCTCACAAGCCACGACTAACAGGAAATTACATTTGTAAGCAAGGATGTCTACATTTGTCTTCTCATCTAGTTTCCACAGAGTAAGGGGTTATGGCTAACACATAGACATTTCTGCATGATGCTATTTTATAATGCCACCTAATCCAGGCTTTGTGACTGGTCTCATCTATGGTATGTCTGGATATCATTCCTTTGTGGCAGTTTAAAACACTTTATAAGCTGAGTCTTTTTACTTAAATAACAAATACAGCATTTTATAAAGCTGTGAAATACAGATTATCTATAAATATTCCTCTCCTAAAGGTACCTCAAATAGTTAAAATTCTGTTGGTCTCAATGAATAGCTTTTCTTGTCAGCCAGCATTGTGTGGTGCAGTGATGAACGCAGTAGAAAATCTTGTTTGCCTCTTAAAATGGGGACCGTTTTTTCTATAATGATTAACCACTGAAAGAGATAATAGATATTTTTATGCAATTGAACTGTTGTCTGGGGTTTTTGAAAGTG